AAAAAAAAAGTTAAACAGAAGCAACCCCTAATACTGACGAATTTATTAACATTTCAATATTATTCACAAGTCTTTTTCCCTGCTCCCATTAAATAATACGTATTTGTTCTTCTAAAACATTTCCTCGGCTTTGCACCTAATCTTTCGGATTATAATTGACACCTTATCAATTTAAAGTGCAATCCATGAGGCGGATTTCAAACCCGTCCTTCACAACTTATTAAAAAAAAAAAAAAAAAAACATTTCCTCGGCTCCGGTTCTCTCTCTCGCATATTAAAATAGAAAATTCTGATATTCACCCACTGACACGCACAAACGCAACGCAGCTGCTTCTGTCCCTTAAAAGCCGACCTTTCTACTCAGGACGGTTTCTCGTAAACCAGTCTTCCACCACTCCACCACCGGTCCACCACTGCGCTCCAGCTTCTTCACTTTCTCTGTCAATAAACCTTCACCCTTCATCTTCTCCTCTCTAGCCGCCATTCTAACTTCTTCTCCTTCTCTCTCTGCATTTTTCGCTCTTGTTTCAGTCTTTCTTTCTTTCTTTCTTTTTTTGGGTAGAATCTTGTTTCAGTCTTTTGATCTCTCAAAACGGGGGGGAAAGGCCTAGTAATGGAGAAGAAACAAGGGTTCTTTGCGGCTCTCAAAGAGGAGGTAAAACGGGGGCTATCACCCTCCCGGTCCCGCCCCAACGGTCCGGCCAGAACGCGCTCCCCCATGTCGGGTCTGATTCGAAGGAAGAAAAGTAATCATGGGTCTTACGTGGCGCAGCCGGAGCTGTTGATCGCGAGATCCGGGAATCTGAGGCCGGTGATGGAGGGTCCTGATCCTGATGGCGGGGAGGTTGGGGAGTCGAAGAGGATTGGGTCTGGGATGGGACAGTGGGTGAAGGGGCAGTTATTGAGGACTCCCTCGGTGGTGTCGATGGGTTCCAAGAGGTCTGATCTCAGGCTATTGCTTGGGGTCATGGGTGCACCTCTGGCCCCAGTTTATGTCAACTCTATTGAACCGTTGCCTCACTTGAGCATCAAGGACACTCCCATTGTTAGTTCCTTTCTCTCTCTACCCCGAAGCAGCTTTCTTGTTCTGTACTTTCTCCACATTTTCAAAACTTCTTTAATCTTATTTTTTATGGTATCTTGGTTGTTGAACAAAAGGAGTATATTGGTTGGTTGGTTTAGATTAGCTGAAGCAATGCTAATAAAAGTATCTTCCGTACAATTTTTTAGTGTTTTGTCTGTAAATGGATTTTGTAGGTTTTTTTTTTTTTTTTTTTTTTTTTTTAACGATTTTTGGTAATCTTAGACTAGCACTAATGCTATGTTTTGCATTGATTTTGTGAAATATTTTTTATACTTAGAATCTTCATGGTAATTGTATTTTGCATCTTATTTTATTTTTTTATTATTATTATTTTTTTTCTCTTTTGCTCTCAGCTTTGATGTTCTCAGTTGTAGATCCATGGGATTTAAGTAATTTATTCTTTATTGATGCCAGTTTTGGTTAGCAAGAAACAGAGTAGTGAAAACTTTTGCTAGATGTGCTTTGGAACTCACCTGGGCAGTAAGATGATAAATAAATAATCAATGCCATGTGAAACATCTAATTTACAACACTGTCTGGAAAGAGACTTGGTAGCTGTAGGTGTAGGCTGCAAAATTTAAGACCCCTTTACATGTGGGGATGGAGTTTCTTGTTTGACTGTTTTTAGTGTTTATTCCTATAGACTGCTACAGAAGGCTGTAGTTTACTAGAACTTTCCTCTGAACTTATGCATATTATTTCCATATTTTGTAGGAAACTTCCTCTGCTCAGTACATATTGCAGCAGTATACAGCTGCTTCAGGGGGGCAGAAGTTGCAAGGCTCCATTCGAAATGCCTATGCTATGGGAAAATTGAGAATGGTAGCTTCGGAGGTTGAGACTGCCACGAAGACTGTTAAGAACCGGAATGCCTCTAGATGTGCAGAATCTGGTGGGTTTGTTCTCTGGCAAATGGATCCTGACATGTGGTATGTTGAGCTTGCAGTTGGGGGCAGCAAGGTTCAAGCTGGGTGTAATGGGAAGCTAGTCTGGAGGCACACACCCTGGCTTGGTGCCTGCTGTGCAAAGGGGCCTGTTAGACCATTGCGTCGTGCACTTCAGGTGAATGCTTCTCTGCCAAGTTCCTGTTCACGTGCTCAACATTGGCCTTTTAATGAAGTTATAAATCTAAATTTGCCCTTAATTTTCTAATTAAAGGTTTGGGGTTGTTGTGTTTTGTTGCAGGGTCTTGATCCAAGAACTACAGCTAGTATGTTTGCCAATGCTAGGTGCATAGGGGAGAAAAGGATAAATGGTGAGGATTGCTTCATCCTCAAGCTTTCTGCTGATACTCAGACATTGAAGGCAAGGAGTGAAGGCCCTGCTGAGATCATTAGGCATGTGTTATATGGTTACTTTAGCCAGAAGACAGGGCTTCTTGTTTACATGGAAGATTCACATCTTACTCGGATTCAATCCAATGGTGGTGATGCAGTTTACTGGGAAACCACAATCAATTCATTTCTCGATGATTACAGACCCGTTGAAGGGATCATGATTGCACACTCTGGGCGATCTGTTGTGACCCTTTTCAGGTTTGGTGAAATGGCAATGAGCCATACCAAGACAAAGATGGAAGAAGCTTGGACTATTGAAGAGGTTGCCTTCAATGTGCCTGGACTTTCTTTAGACTGTTTCATCCCACCGGCTGACTTAAGATCTGGATCTGTCAGTGAAAGCTGTGAACTCCATCAGGATGAAAGGGGTAAGAGTGCACTTGCATTAGCAGCCCACCGGGCCAAAGTTGTTGCACTGGAAAAAGCACATGATAGCACCACTGACAACATGATTTGGAAGATGGAAGTCTAACAAAGGGTAGGATCACAGAAATCAAGGCAATTGTTCATATTGGTAGAAACTGTTAGGGGACTAACCCACTCGAAGTGATAAGGTGTAGGAGTCAAGTCATATTTTTTTAGACTTTGGTCTATGCCTCTATTAATCTGTAAATAGAGCATAATCATTCACTGGATCCAACTGGACCAGGTTGAATTTTTATACTCAACGCAGAATCCAACTAAGGAGTTGGAGCTCGGTTTTCCGGTTAGGGATAGAGCTAATGGAGGTTATTTTTAGGTTACATTCCATGCTTGAAGAAGGTGGTGAAGCTGTCGTATAGCAGAACCATTAACCTTTTTAATAGTTTTACTAATGCTCATGGTTAATGAATATAGCAGTGGCAGTGGAGGATACTGCTACTGTCAAGTCTGGCTTTGACACTAATTTCTAGTTTGTTAACGTTACTTTTTCTTGCTCTGTGATTCCTGGTGTGATTGTTTTACATTGTTAGTGTTTCTGGGTTTGGGAAGGAAGATGGATTGTGCTTAGATATGGAGATTAGTAGGGTGATAGAAACTCATATCCCCTGCTGTGATCAAATTCTGGGTTGTCTTTGGTTACATGGTGGCATCTGATCAGTGCCAGCTGAGAACTAAATGTAAACAGAAATATTATGTCTTATCAATCACTTACTGTTGATGAAATAGAGATCAGCATCTTTCTTTCATCTTTGTTGTTTCTTGTTTGCTCTATTCTCTTTGTTTATTTACTGATGAGAGCAGCTATGCGCTTAAGGCCAAACGGGCCTTTCAGATCTTTCATTCTGAATGCCCATAATGATGCTGAAATTTGTTTTGTCCCTTTCTGTTCTCTCTACCACATCCCCACCGTTCTTGGTAGTTTCTGATATTTAACCTCGACTTGAACATCCAGCCTGAAATTTCTTTATGTGGGTGGGGTCTCTTTGTATTTCTTTTTTGAATGCTGATGTCTAGTACCAATCACTTGGTGCCCCCATCTCTATGACTCCATGTGTGCAAACTTCATTTAATATGGTGCTTGGCAGCGTCTGGGGTTGTTCGAAAGTTGAGAACCAATATTTCTCACCTGGGACCCTTCTCCGTTGACTGCTCCCTCTTGAGAAGTCTTCTTGATGGGGTCTCTTACCCCTT